GGTGGGGGGCAAAATGTTTTCTTGGCAAAATTTTTACTATCAAACACCTATTTTACATGGAAAATAAAAATATTTTCCTAGTTCTAGGGAAAAGAAAGGCAATCAAACATGGCCTTAATTAAATGTATTATGTCATGTTTGTCCATCTAAACATTGAATCTCACATCGAGCATACATTAATGGTTGTAATTATGGCTGTCCAAAAGTCTCGAACCGAATCGAATCGGACAGAACCCGAATCGAACCGAACCGAACTGAGTGATTTTTCATATGTTAAATACCTGAACGGGTACCCGAATCGAGAACCGATCGATTTGGTCGGTATCGGGGCTAGACCAAGTACCGAAAAATCGAATAAGAATCGAAACTAAATAATTTTTTTTATTTTTTATATTGAACTAATTAAATTATTTAATTTTTTTCTAAACAAATTAGCAAATTAATTAAATAAATCAGATTATGTTTTTGAGTTGGGCTATGTTAATTTGTAAAAGTTACGAATGAAATGTCATTAGTTGTATTTATGTAGTGTTACTGTAAATATTAAAAAAATTAATTATGGTACGGAACCGAACCGAACCGAACCCGAACGGTTCCATAATTATATTTGGACCTGACGGTTCCATAATTTTTTATGCCTTTCTCCACAACAACTCAAGAAACTAATTCAGAAATTCGTCTTATCGTCTTAGTTTGTCTAGCTAGAGTTCGACATCACGTGATATGGAATCCTTGGAGTATAAGAATAAGAGTCCACAAATGATTTTTGTTTTTAATGTTAATTTACTTCCATTGTCTATCGCGTGTTAGTCTGGTTACTAAAATTAATGTCACGATCCTCTTCAGTTACTGTTTCAGATAAACATGCCACTTTAATCATGTCGTGGATGCTACATTTTAACAATGTGGACGAATAGAGCTCTCAGCATACTCCATCAGATGAATTACTGTATTTTTAAAATTATAAATTTTTTATTAATTAGTGTTACAGATATTTAAAAGACAAATTCTTCAATTTAAAGCAATACTCCCATCTAACTAAAAATAGGAAAATAATCTTAAAGAATGAGGGAAAAAAGAAAAGAACTATGTTTCATGTACAGAATCAGAGCTCACGGAAGAAAAAAAGATCCTCACAGCAGGGGGGTGGGGTGGGGTGGGGTGGGGTTTTTTTTTCAATATTTTACTCACATGGGACCCACCACACGTGAGTATTCTGTTGATTTTCTAGCAAATCCATTTCTGTATAAATGGATTTGCTCAAAAGAAAAAGAACGTAGTTTAACTATAATTTATATATTTGAATATAATAATCGATGACGGCAAGAGAGATTGTCAAATGTCACACCGAATGCTTTTATTAAAAACCGACAAAACTTTCATCCTTACGTGAACGTTAAATATCACAACTTGACCCATCATATCGCTTTCTTTATTTCATCATACAAGACAGGAATGAGAGGCGTGTAATTTTCAAGCTCAAATCTAAGTAGTTATATGGCCTACATCATTAACCTATTTTGTTTCAAATACATTAGTTCTCTAAATTATCCACTAGTAGTTTGTGATATTTTCATTGTTTTTGATTTATTAGATGTCTTTATCTTGTTATTATATGTTGAGCCCGTTGCTTTGGACTGAAATACGATAAATTTTACTTAAATTACATGGACTTCGATAAATAAATAAATCGAGCATATTGATTAAGGGCTAATTTGAACAATATTCCAAGTTCGAGGACTAACTTGGCTTTGGACCAAAAGTGCAAGGGTCACTTGGACATGACCAAAATATCTTGCATGAATAAATATTTTAATCGACCCACAATATAATAAAAGTACTACGGGCAATAAATTTGTCTTTGAAGGGTGGCATTTTGATCAAGACTAATCAAAACAATGTTATCATAATTAATTTGGGTGTATCACATATATCAAGTAAATCATGGTACGTATGACACATTAATTAAATGTATCGGGACATCTTTGTCCATCTGAACATTGAATCTTCCATCGAGTATATGTGGATGGTCGTAATTGACCAAGCTTGACTGTAGAAGACATCTTTAAAACGTTTACTTCTTTATATAGTTCTGAGATCTTATTTCGGTTTGATACGTCCACCTACGGGTTCTCGGTGCCGTCTTGAATCAAAAATTGCCCTCGTGATTTTTTTATATTGGAAAATACATTTTTTATTCCTTTCTCCACTCATCGAGCACCCTAAACATGCAAGTACAAATTCGGGAACTCAGTCTTATCGTTTTAGTTTGTCAAGCTAGAGTTTGATGTTAGACTTTACCATGATCAATTTTTGTCCAGGTTTAAACACATGATATAGAAACCTTGTAGAAGAAGAATAAGAGCACGCGCGAATATTTTTTTAAGAAAATGTTAGTTTACTTTCATTGTTTGTCAGCGTGTTAGTCCAGTTACTGTTTTCAGATAAATATGCAACTTTAATCATGTCATGGATACAACATTTTGTGCCCGTTTGGCCTTCTTTATTCCAAATTATAATGAGATGAATATTAATTTTTTGGGGAATGTATGTTTAAAAAGGAAGGAAATTTTTTGGATTTATGTGTCATATTATTTTACTAGAGAATATGTGATTGATAAGAAGAGAGAGAAAAATAAATTATAATTTAATGAGAATAATGAGGGCCAAACGGGCTCTGAACATAATCCATCAGATGAATTACTGTATTTTTAAAATTATGCAAATTTTGTTAATTGTTATTACAAATATTTAAAAGACAAATTCTTCAATTTAAAGCAATCTAACTAAAAATAGGAAAATAATCTTAAAGAATGAGGGAAAAAAGAAAAAGAATGTAGTTTAACTATAATTTATATATTTGAATATAATATCTACTATAATAATCAGTAAAGGCAAGAAAGACTGTCAAATGTCACACCGAAAGCTTTTATTAAAAACCAAACAAACTTTCATCCTTACATGACCATTACATATCACATCATGACCCATCATTGCTTTCTTTATTCATCATACAAGGAAGAAATGAGAATTCCCCTATTTGACCAGACCCATCATTGCTTTCTTTATTCATCATACAAGGAGGAAATGAGAATTCCCCTATTTGACCAACAACTTTTTCACGTTTTATATTTGTCGACTACGTACACTGACATCTAACGGATCGACATGAAGACATATATACGAACTTCAAATTTGTACATACAGTTGATGGTTGAAGGTGGGTGGCACGAACAATTCTATGCCAAGAGAGTATCAGTCGAGTCAGTAGGTCCATTCTTGCGGTAATAATGTTTCCTCATTCTCGTTTCCCGACTGTTTTTCGATCAATTGTGCTTCTCCTCCATTAATATGTGAAGAATCATTTACATGTATATCTGAATCCACAATAATACTGTAAGTATGTTGTTCATAATTGTCATCCGGGTAGTATGTCACATTCATGAATTGATTTTTGTAATAGATGAGTTGGAGTGGGTGGTCATTGAGCTAGAAAGGGTTCCTATTGTCTCCGTGTCTAGATTTGTTGTTCCTTCAATACATTTTTGACATGTTAATACATAATCTTCTTAACAAATGGGAAGAGATTAACACATTTCTCGACGCATCAGCACATTACACCTATGCATCTTCCTACATGTTAAGAAATGATGACGTGACTATTTCAAAAATGTATTGGGGATGACAATCAAGAGAACAAGAAGTTTGAGAGAGTAGATCTCAATGCATTATAAATAATTGAAACACACGAAAGAGAGAAAAGTACCATTTGAGTTTTGTGAAGAGTGCTGATCAGTAGAGTCTCTTGACGCCGTTGACCTATTAAAATGAAGTTCCAAAGCTTGCAATACTCTTGTAGGTATAAGCACTGTCGAACAGGCTCCTGATAAATGCCAAAATAACAAACGTGTAAATAAGTACGAGTCATTCCAATTATAAAACCTTGTTTGACCTCCCATTTTGGGAGAAAATGTGTTTTTAAAAAGTGATTTTTTTTTTTAGAGAATGTGTCGTTAAAAAATTAAAAAAAAATTAAATTTACATATAAAATTATTTTATAGAGGAATGTGTGATTGAAAATAAATTTTGAAAAAATAACGCTAAGTAACAATCTAAATTGCCTAGTACCTTTAATGTTCGTAAATTCAAAATGTATTTCTCTCTCTCATTAAGAAAACTCTAAAAACTAAGGAATAATGCTTAAATTTCACTGTTTAAAAGGACCCTACAATGAAGCCAATAATTTAGATCCGACCAAACAAGATTCCATTGTCGAGTCATTGGATCATCATATCCCATATCTAATACTAAGACAATAACGAAATTTAGATTCCATTTACGAAGCCAATGGACTTTAATAGGCCTCTTGAAAGATTCCACATCACATGACCAACAATAATATTGAGGTGACAATTTTACACTTCACCGTCCCTAACTTTTGACCTTTTTGCCAATTTAGCCCATCAACTTTCCATTTATAAATGTAATACGTGTCTATTGAGGATTTTCATTTAATAATTAAATAAATATTAATAAAGTCAAAAGGACTTTACTCTTAAATTCAAATAAACAAAAGCTTCACTCTCGTAACATGTGGAGTTTAAGAGAAACACGCTATCCATGGCCCAACTCAATTACGGCCAAACTGAGGCAATCATGCTACATAGAAATAATTCTTGACATATTGCTATGTGACAACCTATCGTTAGATTATTTAACACAGTCAATTTTTTCATCAAATCACATACGAAAATTATTTCAACCATTATGTCTCATATTTTATAGCAAAGTATGATTATTCAACAAACAAATTCGAGGGCTTGTTTGCTAGTGATTTTCTATTTTTGAAAATTGATTTTTGAGCCGTTTTTGTTCACCGTTTCTCACAAATTGCAAGCCCATTTATGTGAAATTGTGACCGTTGAAGCACTCAACGGTCAAAAAAAGGCTTTTAATCCAAAATTTAATCACTAGCAGACAAGCCCCGAGAGTATTTATTGATTCCAATTGACCAATATCGAATCATTTAACGTCCTAAGGTTCTAGACTTAGGGGTGGAGCGAGGGCTGCCCCCAAGCCCAATTAATTATTTTAGTATAAAAAAAAAATTAATGAAAGTTATCATTTCAGTATAAATTTTTTTGTTCCCCTAACACCGCGCCCTTCTAGTAATAATTCAAGGGTCGAAGTATCACTTTTGAAACAGTTGAAGGACGATATTGAAAATTAAGGAATTACCTGATTTTTTTTTGTGCTCGGCCGGGACGTTGGATCCACGCGGCAAGAAAACACCAGTTCCACATGACCCGTGGCTCGATCCAGATCCACCGAGAAATACTGCCCTCATACCTGACCCATAATAAAGCCCATTTCCCCAGTTCACCCCTTTGTATTGCTGCTCAGTTTGATAAAGTGGTTTCTTCTGAGTTAACTCGCTCCTACCGACTCGTCTTCCCCGAGAATTCCGGCCTTGTTTTCTTACTGTAGCTTGGTTTTTCAACTGATAATAAATCCAACAATTAGTAACTAAAATTTCCTGATAGTTAAAAAAAAGGAAATTCAGTTCAAACAAACCTTAGATTCATCAGAAACGCAGTCGGAAAGTGAGTTTTCTCCATCTTCCTGAAGCAGGTGCTCAGCCATCTGACGTGTCAACTCGGCAATGAAATCTTCATCTTCGCTTCCAGAAGTCTCGGTCGAGTCGAGCTCAGAACCAAATGGTGAACTCAAAGCAGACGAAGAGCCTAAAACGGATTCAGTACTCGGACTTGATGCCATACTTTGATTTCCTTTGAACAAATCAGAGAAAAGCAGCTTCTTCTTCTTCTCAGTAAATTCAGAAGCCATATCCAAGTGCTTATGAGCTAAATATCTCGAGATTTTGCCGTCTCAACTGAGTTCAAACGAGTTGGGGGTGGGGAGAATAGGAGCAAGAGGAATCTGGTAGAATCTGGCCACAGTGGACTTTTTGACGTTATGAAGATTCCAATTTATGTGCAGTTAGATTCACGGTAGGGATAGATCTCCCGCCGTAAAATTTTTTACTCATCTGGATAAGTCGTGGTTAGTTAATAGGAAGATACTAACACGATTTTAAGGAATATCTCTTTTTGAAATGATTTTTTATATTTATTAACAAAAAATGATGTGATTTTATAATAAAAAAATTGTTTTTGCGTTTAATATTATTTTATTAAATAATTTGTAGTTAAAAAAAGAGAAAATTATGTTTTAGAAAAATGAAAATCAAACAAAGACTTAGAAATTTGGGACAATCAAATTGAGATGTCTTAACTCGTGCAGCAATAAATAACGGATACGATAACATGAATAGGAGGAGACGACTTTTGATGTTTAGATGATTCCAAATTATGTAAAATCAAACTCTCAATTTGTATAGTGAAAAGTAGAGAGATAATATTGTACTCTTTCAATTGTTCTCAAAAAAAATTTCATGCATTTGCGTCGGCACTAGTTGAAGAAATGAAAAATCTGTTATTTATTTAGCCCGATTTTGACAACTATTTTTTGAAAAATTCTTATTTTTATATTCTGTACGTAAACCCCAATTTTTATTTTTGTTCTCGTAAAAATTACTAATCAAACCATCGTTTTCTCTAAATAATGATTGTCAAACATGAACTTATTGAAAAATGTGAAAAGTAAGCCTCCCTCACTCTCTTTTTAATGCATTTTTTATGAAAGTGTCTCGTGTTTTGAGTTGGATTCGACTCAATGAATCGTTTGGGACCAATTTGTTGTCAAAAAGCGCCCATTATAGATATTGCTAAAATAGTCCATTGAATGATTGCCATTCAAGGGATTAAAATATACATTTTTAACACAAATTTTAGCCCCTCTTTGGTGACTATTTTATTTATTTATTTATTATTTTTGATTTTGAATAAAGAATTTTGGAGAATGGGCGATTAAAAAATATGGAAAAGTTTGAGTTTACATAGAGAATATTTTGTTAATATATGGTTGAAAATGAATATGTAGAAAAAAAATATTTTGAAATAACGGGTAAGTGGGAAGATATCAATACGAATTATGCTTAATGTAATGTCTGTTGATGGCTTCTTCGACAACACACAGGGGCAGACGGACATGGGGGTGGCTTGGGGGGCAGGTGCTCCCTAGCCCCCCTCAAAAAAAAATTTTGAATTTTTTTTTTAAATAATATGAAAGGAATATGAATTAAGAATCATTTCAAACCAATGTTTTCTCTTGATTGAGTCTCCTCTTCTCATTTTCTCTCCTCTTCTTCATGGTAAAATTAAAGTTGTATATTGATAAATGGATACGAGAATGGTTGTGATAATACTGAATGACTGAACAAGAATAGTTCAAAACTTCAAATCTCATTTATCTTTGTTTAAATGATTTATAGTTACTCTCAAAGAGTGAAAATTGCATTGCCAAATGAAAACAGTGAAAAGTCTATCTCCACTCTATAGCCATTTCAAATTCAATCGCGACAAAGAATTCTAAGACCTGACCCAAGGAAAATCAAGGAAATTCAAGTTGAATTTAGTTACGTTCTTATAATGTATGAGATTCACGAGTGAAATTCTCAGTTGAAGTGACATTTTTAAAGAAATTTCGAGAGCCATTTAGCTTAGGAGAATCTGGTCTGACTGAATGTAATCAAAAGAAAGAGTTATGCAATATGATTGAACTTGAATGAGCAATGATTGTTTCTCGGGTATTTGATCCATCGAAAATAAGTCTGACTTTTACCATTTCCTAGTCCCTTGTTGATTTACCTGTTGCATCTATTAAATAAGTTTGAAAATTTAAGAAATGTACATATAAATCTATGACTTGGATTCTACCAAAGTTTGTGTATCTCTTGATAACCAAGATTGTATACTCAATTTCTTTGTTGATTTAAATTACGAAACTATATTAAATTTTTCTCTATTTCTCACTTTAATTATGGAACGTTATCAAAATATGAGAACACGTAGAGAACAATTGTAATAAAATATCTCTTACTGTAATTTTTTGGTCACTTTTTGAAATTTTGATTGTGCCCCCCAACATAAAAAGTCTGCGCCTGCCCCTGACAACACATGCCTATGTATAGGAAATCTTAACCTGATCATTGATTGAAACGTATTGTTAAAATTAATATATAAAAATCTATAAACTCACATGATATCAAATTTTATGTAAAATATGATATACACGTAGTCAATTAAGTAAATTAACAAGTAAAATATGATACTAAGGGTTTGGCGCATATTAAAATGAGAGAACGTATTTTTTGAAGTGATGTGATGGGGAATATGTGGTTGGAAAAGAATGAAAAGTTATTGATGTGATAAAAAAATTATTTTATTGAAAAATGTGTAATTAAAAATGAATAGAAAAATGAAAATGAAAAAAATAATGTGACTAAAACATATCTCAACACTCAAGCCGTAGGAGAATTAAGTAATGGCAAATGAGAAATTAGAAGAAAAGACAGCAGATACAGCTGCCTATGGGAAGAGACAGTTAAGGGACGTAGGTGTCATGTTCTTCCAATGGGTATCCGCTAGTTGGCAGTTCAATTTCAATTTGAATATGTTCAGTGTACACCATACTTTACCTCATCTTTTACACTCTGTCACGTGTCATTAAATTATTGGACAAGTTAAACATAAAACAATTTTGTTATCGAATCAATGCTCGATAACATGGATGATATCAATCATGATGTAAAGAAAGTGACATACAAATAGCATAATTCTTTGAATTTTAAATGTAAAAAAAAAAAGTCAAAATCAATAATTAATTATTACATATTACATTGAATCAATTTTTTTTTAAATATATATTTCAACGACTTTTATCAAAATATATTAAAAATCCAATTTTAATCTATATTAAACAAGGTCTATATATATCACGTCCTGGGCTAATTTTACTTAATTTTAGTTTGACACATGGTTAGTGATTGCAGTAGTTGACAGCTTGTCATTTGAGATATTAGTTTGTTATTTGAAATAACAGAATTACAACAAAATAATATTTCAAATAACAAACTGTCATATATGAGAATTACTACAGTTGTTAAATATAAATATCATTACTCCTGTTTAAAGCGTCGACATGCAATCACGATTCCTATTTTTTCATTTTCTTTGTATTTGCTCTTATTAAAAAAATTATGTAGCATCTCACATATTTGTCACTTTTCAGTATTTATGTTCGTTGTGTTCTTTTCAATTCCGCTGACATCAAAACATAAATTAATATTTCCCAAATATTTAAATGTGGCTTTGAATCCTTTGATGACAGTTGAGTAGTTTACAACCTTTCGTGGGTGAATTGTCCAAATAGTCACTGAACTTTACGCCATGTTTTCAAAATGTCACTGAACTTTCAAAATTATCCAAGCTATCATTGAACTTTGCAAAAAATTTTCACGAGGTCACTGAATTTTAAAAATCACCTCATTCATCACTGAACTTTGGCCTTGTATGGGAGGGATTAAAATTGAAAATATAGCAGTTATTGTTGACTTTTATTAGACGGGTGGGACCCAATAACGACCATATTTTCAATTTTAATTGGATTTTAATCACTCCCAAATGGGGCCTTTATAAAAAGTTTCTCAGAGGTCACTAATTCAGTGATATCCTAGGAAATATTTTGCAAAATTTAGTGATCCAGTATGGGGCCGTTATTAAAAGTTTCTCAGAGGTCACTAATTCTGTGATATCCTAGGAAATATTTTGCAATATTTAGTGATCCAGTAGAAACATTTTGCAAAGTTTAGTAATGAATAAGGTGATTTTTAAAGTTCATTGACCTCGTGGAAACCTTTTACAATGTTCTATGATGAATTTGGTGATTTTTAAAGTTCGGTGACCCCTTGGAAGCATGACGTAAAGTTCAGTGACTATTTGGGCAAATATTTGAAGTGTGCTTAACGCCTTGAACTGTAGTGATAAATTGGTAATAAACAAATTGTAAACCATGTGCAACGCTGGATGAGGGCTGCCTTCCTCTCTGATCCACCACCGGGATCCTACTTGATCGGAGGGACGGAAGGGTGAGGAATAGCAACGGGGTTGGATTTTCCGGTAGAATCTGCGATGGTCCCATATTTCAGTTTCCGGTACTGTTGCTACACCCTTCTCTTGGTCTCTTCCTTGTCATCCATTTCATTCCTATACTGGTCTTGTTTTTCTGTTCAAACTAGGGAAGTGAAAGAAAGTCAACCACGATTAGATAAAGTCAACCTCCTAACATTTCCATCTGCGTTGAATCATCTCATCTTTCCGTCCCAACCACCACCGAGACTTCTTAAAATTGCTCTCTTTGTCAAGAAATGGCCAAGTAAACACCAGGCTGGAGGGCTTGAGCGACACGCCTTGACTCTCCACCTGGCTCTTGCAAAGCGAGGCCACGAGCTCCATATCTTCACGACTTCATCGTCTAACTTAACCATGATGGATAATGTGTATTTTCACCTCTCTAAACCAACACCTGCCGGCTATCTTGACCAAGCTCTGATATGGAAGCAATTTCAAGTACTGAACTCGACTGGACAGCCCTTCGATGTGATTCACACTGAAAGTGTGGGACTTAGGCACACCAGATCCCGGAATCTGTCTAATTTAGCCGTCAGTTGGCACGGAATTGCATATGAATCTATACATTCCGATATTATTCAGGAACTTATAAGAGCTCCTGAAGAACCACAGTCCTATGCTTTTACTGAAAGAGTAGTCAAGGTTGTGGAAGAGATAAAGTTTTTTCCACATTATGCTCATCATGTTGCCACAAGTGATCACGTCGGGGATATACTAAAAAGGGTCTACATGATACCTGAAGAACGCGTCCACATTATTCTGAATGGTGTCGATGAGGAGATTTTCAGGCTAGACATTTCCAAGGGCAAAGACTTTAAGTTGAAATTTGGCATTCCAGAGTCCAAGTCACTAATTTTAGGCATGGCAGGGAGGTTGGTGAAGGATAAGGGTCATCCATTAATGTTTGAAGCTCTAAGACAGATTTTCAGTGAAAATTCAACTTTTCGGGATAGTGTTATTGTTCTGGTAGCTGGAGATGGTCCATGGGGTGCTAGATATAAACAACTCGGCTCGAATTTACTGATTTTAGGGCCTTTGGAACAGAGTCAATTGGCAAGGTTTTACAATGCAATTGATATATTCGTAAATCCAACACTTCGAGCACAGGGTTTAGATCATACCTTGTTGGAAGCAATGCTGACAGGCAAGACAAGAATGGCAACGAAACTGGCGAGTATTACTCAGTCCGTGATTGTTAGCAAAGATGTTGGCTATACATTCCCTCCTACAGTAGTTTCGTTGAAGAAAGCTCTGTACGAGGTGTGGAAAGATGGAAGAGGTGTTCTGGAGCGCAAGGGCGAGTTAGCCAGGAAGAGGGGTTTGCAACTATTTACAGCCACCAAAATGGCAGCAGCCTATGAAAGGCTATTTCTGTGCATCTCCAGCCAAGATTACTGTATGTTGTAGGTGCAAAACAAACTAAACTCCCTCAAAATGCATGGTTAAGAGAGAGATGTCAATCAGTACTTGTAATTATTGAAAAAACATGAAAACATATATGAATTCGATAAGTTTCATCTGTAAAGAAAGACAGCCATCAACAGAATCTAATTATTATAGAATTTTTTGGCACATTTATATATTTAGGAACAAGAATTTCACACAATCTGACAGTAGGTTCGAAATCAGCATGATATACAAGATTGGGAGAACCCATGACAAAAACTCCAAGTTCTGCCACAAAAGGCTACATGTACTAATTTTCAGATGCCAAATCTATATCGGATGGCTCCAATGCTTAACGAATCCCTGCACTGCAAGTACAAATATGAAGTATTACAATTATGTTGGAAAATCTGTTGGTCCAAATATGAAGTATTACAATAATTGAATGTCGGGGAAGAAGTAGATATTGTATATTTGGAAACAATCATGTTGGTCCAAATATGAAGTATTACGATTATTCAATTTTAGTTACATAAAATGCATCGATTTCTTACTTTCCGACCTTTTACTTTTTTCCCTTTGGTTGGAAAGATCTTGTTAGGAACATAAGAAGAAGATTATGGTAAGAGTTTTAAGGAAAATCATTGATCGCAAAAAGAATAAGTTCATTTCAACTGAAACCAGAACGTATCAATTTCAGGTATTCCTCAATTTTGTAACTCAGTCAATAAAAGCCATTCTCCAGCTCCACCTCCCACAAAGAAAAAACAAAAAAATTGCTTGGTCTGCCCTGTGAATGTACATTTCCTTGTTGTGATCATAACATCCATAACATGAAATTTATCAAAGCTTTACAGTTTAAAATCATCGAGATCATTATAAAGAACCGAGGTAGTACAGAAACAACTAATATAACTGCCCCTACGCTACAGGATCCCAAAAAATATATATATATAAATTGAAAGTCTTCTGCTTTAATATATTATATAGATTATAAATATATATATATATATATAAACTGAAAACTAAGAAGAGTAAAGAATTTAAAGATATGAAGAAAGCCAGTTCCATAAAGGGTTGTCAGAGAAAATAACGGGTAAATACGCTCAGAGCCAATAGTGCTTCAGATCAAGCAAAGCAAATAAGCAAGCAACAAGTTGGGGAAAAAGGTATTTCTCAAAGGACCATGAAATAACATGGGATATCGTCGTACCTGACACAATAAAGATGGATTCACATGCCTTAGGTATCAGAGGCAGAGTACTAATAATAAAGTGACCCTGCAAAACAGTAAGCATGGAGATTTCAGTTTCATACATACGGCTCTATGAATAGTTCACACTGCAATTGACAACAAAACAATTTTACCTTGCCACCAATTTCCTCTGGAGGCACCTTGTGAATTGTTTCCACTAGGATCATCTTGCCCTCCATCTTTCTTGTACTGATCTAACTCATTTGTTAGTTTTGTTAATTTACATATCAAATATACTTGCAAACAATGATTTCAAGATAAAGAACTCACGTTTGGATACGATTCTGATATTTGAGCACTTGAAGACTGAATATACATATCTTCTAGCCCACCATAGTAAATAGAAGAACTCAAAGGGCAGGGTTCGGCTCTTTCCTGAAAGATTGAACGCCTTTCTTTGTTAGATATGCGATTGGTTACATCTTCCTTGTTCTTAATCATATCACCTGCAAGTCAATGGAAAATCGTTGGGATTATATTTCTAATGCATGTAAGATTTAAAGGCAGTGGTTTCTAAATTTCTTAATGGAACAATTAGCAATAATCTACAGAATGTTATTTAACTGATTTGAATATAAAAGAAGTCAATGGGTAAAATAACCATGTCACGAGTTCAACTATTTAAGCTAAGATCATCAAAAAATTACTGCTGTATTTAAACCAAGGGATATAATTTTATTATTTAGGGCATGGGAAACAAGATTTTACATGGTATCAATGGACTTGTGAGCCACCTTATCAAAATAGCTGAACCAGCTAGTCAAACAACTATGCTTTAGAAGTCCTGTGTAGGACGGGCGAGAGAAATTATGAATTTTAATAGCAATACATGCATGAATCACTGAATGAAAATGATAGTGAGATTACACAGAGTTGCGCTCTTTCAAACATCTTACCAGATTAACTTACGCCTCATGACGATAAAGTCTCACTTTCTTCTCAATTTCATTTATTTTACATTAGACTTTAAGAGAGAGGGTTTGGTTATATACGAATTCACACATCAACAACAGTTTTTCTATAGTCCAAGAATCAGCAGGCAGGGGTTACTTAGATAAGCCAGCCCATCCATGTTTATTCATATTAAACATATCCAAATTCTGTATGAAAAGGTCTAGTTGTCACCGTAGTAAAAGAAAAAAGAACTGAGTTTTATGCCTCACCATGAATTTCGCTGTTTCTTGCCTGACTCCCAGACAACTGCTTTTGCACTGCGCCAATGAGCTCAGGACTCGAGCAGTTCTTAGTGCCAACCTGTTCATAGTAAGATAATTTACAGATGTAAAATAATTTCCTCTTCGAAATTGGGACTCAGAAAGGCCAAACACAAATTGTAATACGCAAAAAAGTATGCTTTCATTCCCATTAAATGTAATGTTTGGTATATATTAACTCCCTAACAAGTAATTTCAATAAATAACACCAAATTTTCACAAGAGTGGTGACACAGAGAGTTTCTTAAAATTGAATAATCAGCATTATCAAACAACCAATTGCGTTGACTCACGTTGTTGGATGCATGGAAATTGGATTATCAGAATTAGATTTTATAAAAGCTTAATTCAAAATACACAATTGAATATGATTATTCCTAATTCCAATTTGAAAACCTCAATTCTAAGAAACCAAAAAAGGACCTCGTTGCATGCATCCAAACTTCTAAAATCATCGAACTTGTTGAACCATCCCATCTAAAAATTTAAGCTGATACGGGTTACATTTTTTCATTGAAGGCCTAAAAGCTGATATGTATACACTTTTCACAAATGGGTGGCGAGGAAATTCCAACAACTTAGCCTAAGTCCGACCACGTTGAACCCCCCTCATATTTTAATATTCTTATGCAGGAAAAATAAGGAGCTTATCATAAGCAGGAAAAACTAGGAATTGGCAACAAATGCGGGTTTCTTCTATAAATAATGCTTTCTCTGCTCAGCTACCAGGATCGAGCTGTTTTCAAGTTTATTCTGTGAATACCTTTCTCCCATCTAATTGCATGGAAAATACTTGAATTTCATCAAAATTCATTTACTACAGGCAACAAAAGCAACCTAGAATGACACCTTCCAAAGTTTTTTATCCTTAGTATGAACAAATGCATTAAGCAACCACAAGATCCAATTCAAACATCAATTACCATCGAAATAACACAAATTAAAGAGCTACACACACCACCCACCTAAACGAAATTAAAAAGGTAATCAAATTTACCCTTGATGGAGGTTGTAAGATTGAGGAGAAAATGCCAGATGAAGCTGAAGACGGGGATGACTCCTTTACACCAAACAGATCGTTAGTGAATGATGAAGATGAACCAACGTGCTTCTTGTTTTCCATTACACAAACTCTCTCTTTTTCTTTTCTTTGAATTGATAATGATTAATGTACAGGAGTTGTAGAACACTGAAGCCTGAGTTATATACAGTAGAGGAGGATAAGATTTTCTTAAAATAGAGACTCGTGCACATATGTTGCTGCCAGCCCAGGTGGGCAAGGTCCACCATGAAAGGTTTGTACTAGAGCTTAGTAAAGTTTCCCATGATATTTCCTTTTCAGTCAATTCAAGTTGAGTAAATTTCATATGCTGTCACTTCAATTTTTAATCATGATGCTTTCACTAAACTTTGAATTGTCTCAATTTGATCATTAGAAATTTTTTAGATAGAAAAGCTATTCCATTTCCGCTGCTCTTGTTCACGAATCCTTTTCCAGTGGACTTGGCTAGAAAGCCTAAAAAAGAAAGGAAGAAGTTGTAACTCGGAATAGAAGCTCTGGATATTCCTCAATGTCCCGGCTATTCACGGAAGAAATCGAAGAATTTCTTGGGAATCCTACAAGATCCGTTCGTTCTTTTTTCTCTGATAGATGGTCAGAACTTCATTTGGGTTCGAATCCTACTGAGAGGTCCACTAGAGATCAGAAATTGTTGAAGAAACAACAAGATCTTTCTTTTGTCCGCGATCGGAAAATAAAGAGTTTTAAGTTCAATTAAATAAGATCTTTATGTATGTGTGCAAAATTCAAATAATACCTTTGGACACATCATAAAATATTGAGGAAATTAGATGGAAACGTCATTTTTAAAGTGAGAGATTAAAATGCATCCATCACTTTTCGAGTTTTAAACCGTTAACAAATTCTCTCTCTTCTTTTTGCACGAATTCCAAACTTTAAAATATTCTCGTCAAATTACGTAAAGGTAACGAGAGTTTGTATTGCATTTAACTTTAGTCTCCCTCATCAACTTTACCTAAATATATCTATACAACATTTTAATAAAAAGATATTGAAATCATTTCGATAGTCACATTTTATATTAGCAAAATAATAAAGGTAGACAGTTAAAAAAGTATGATCGAAAATATTTAGTGGACACAATGGATAAGAGGTATACTTTTTGTAAGGGAACTTAAGATTCCTTCATGTTTCGTCCAAGAATGATTGAAACTTAATGGATAAGTGGGTGTCCCCTACAAATCCATGTGTTCTTTGAATGAATATTTGTAGTGGGAATCTCGTTTGCTTTACACAATTATATCACTCGAAATCATTTTTTTTTCTTGATAGTCACTACGTTACCTCATGTTATTAATGTTTCGATCTCTCTCGTTAGCCACAATTTATAGGGAAATATTGACTCTGATAATGCGTGATCGTAGAATCTTGAAATTGAAGACAAATAGGGCTCAGTCGAATGAATTATTGTTGATTTTTGACACTATTTATTTTCAAATTTTACGGTCGCAACATATTAGGTGGAATATTTATCTACAATAATGTAAGATACCTTACGTTAGTGTCAAATTTTAATACTAAAGTAAGATTTCGACTTTAAAGTAGCTATGGATAAAAGAAGTTCCAAAATACTTTTGGCCATGTGAAGATTTATAGATAAGGTAGTTCAGTTGCACCATTCAAAAGTTATTCGGATATGCCCTTTCACATTCAAACTATTTGACTTGACCCCTTCTTTTTGTAGCCAAAAGGATATAAACAAATGGCTGCCTAATTTTCGACTAATTATCGAGTCGCTGAATTTATTTTCTTGAGAAACTATTAAGAGAATGTTTGGGATGGCTTATTTCGTAGGCATTGATCCATTGCATGTGAGCCCCAATAGACCATAATACGGACGGAGATGCAATTTGCACATCGTCTCTCAAGTTTTCATTAATAGTAAAAACTAAAAACAAAAAAAAGAAAGCGTCATTTTTTTCATTGACGTGAAGGAGAGTGTCTCAGGCACCAGTTTAACTGTAATGATAGGATTCGAAGCAATGCATTAGTCATTGTTCTATTGCACACAATCTCGAAGGGCTTGTTTGGTGTCAAGTTGATGAAGAATGCAATATAATTAACATATTCAGGTGACGCTGTCGTCTCCTGATATTAATCTCGGTCATAGCGAAATCTATCCTTCGGCCAGATTAGACACACGATCATGCTCAAAAACTAGACAAGACTTGCTCTTGTTCACGACTCTCACCATCACCATCTATGAGAGGAAACTTTTGAGTCAACCGAAAAGAATTAATAGAACCACCCTGCATATAATAAGCAAAATCATAATGCTATAATAGCTAGAAATAAAAAAGAAAAAGTGCAAAGTTACTGATAATCTGCCAATTGATGCTGGTTGATGCTACTCTCAGTATCCAATATGCAAGACTTTATAGTTGTCCTTGAATGCGAGTATCCCATTCTCAAACACGTGAAAAGGAGAAATAGCAACGACATCCTTGTGGAGAGCCAATGCTCGATTCCCTCCTAGTGATATACGTCACTACAAGGACATGAACCCCATAAAAGACCTTCTTTTAGGCTTAGAAAGCGAATTTTGCTCCCCAAATGCCAAGTTGGTTTGAAGTCTGACATTAATTCTGATGGTCATACATACTTGTTCAGCGGACCTTCTACTGAAATAGGTCTATTATGTGACGAAATTTTTTTTGTAAGGAGACTGTTGGGGATTTATCTTCCCCACAGCCCAGGATCAATCCAATTACAACCAAGAAAATAGCACCACCAAAGCAGATTAAATAACAGAAGAAAAACCAGCAAGAAAAACAGCAAAGAAGACAGAAGAATTGGTAACACGAAGAGTTCTTCCTCAATCTTTATTGACCAAAGATTACGTTCATTTAGGCTGTGTTTGATTGCAAGGTGGAAAATGGGTGGAAAGAAAATGTTTTGTAGGGAAAAGATTTTCCTAAAAATTATTTTTCAGAGAATTGTCAATTAAGTGTGTTTGATTGTTATAATTTTTCACTTAGAAAATATTGAGATTTTTCATCTTTTGGTGTTTGATTGGTTTTGTTTTCCACATAAATTGTTTCCTTCCATTTTCATTTTCTTCACCATCACTGCAAATCCATTTCCAATTCAATTTCAATTCAAGCAAAATAAAAACATCATTCTCCCATTTTCATTTTCTTCACCATCTCACTGGAATCAATTTCAATTTCAATTCAATCCACAAAAATTGTATCTTCCCATTTTCGTTTTCCTCACCATCACTGCAAACCCATTTCGTGTTCAACATCATTCTCCCATTTTCATTTTATTAACCATCACAGCATCATTGAATCAATTCAATTTCAACTTCAATTTCAATTCAACCAAAATAAAAACCTCATCCTCCCATTTCCATTTTCTTCACACATCCGCCGCCTAGTTGGATTTCATCTTCAACGGTTTTGAATTCGAGCTAAATTGACGAAGACCGATATGTATATGTTGTTCGCCATAATGAATATGAGGTAATGGTGGTGGTGCAAGACCCAGATTCTCAACGTCAACGCCGGAATTTGGTCTGCACTGTGCGCGATTCGCTGCATTCGAACTGGTAAGAGATGCAATCCATTATAAATCGTTTCTTGATGATATGGGACCATGAATCTGCTTATCTTGATGAGTATTAGGGGCCTGTAATGGAGTATGGCCATGGGTGTTGGAGGGTTGGCCGGAATGGGTGTTGAAACCGTGCNGGTGTGAAAATCCGGTGGTTTGCTTAGTGGCATAGTCACTGAATTTTGGAGTAGAAGATGCGGCTCCAACGGTGGGGGAATTGCCAATTTTCCAGTTTGCCAAGAAAACAAAAAACCGGCTATGAAGTGGAAATTGGTTTTCCTTATTTTCCTGGAATTGGTGGTCACATGCAGCAAAGTGGGAAAATAAGTTGCCTGGAAATGTATTGCTATCAAACAGCTTAAAAAATGGAAAAGTGGAAAATATTTTCAATCTTCCATGGAAAATTATCCCTATCAAACAGGGCCTTACATGAATCAGTAGAAAGAATTTCTAAATTGAATTTCCAGAGACTTCTAACTCTCACAATCTACACTTCCTACTACAAGAAAAAATCTACATTTTTCTCTAACTTGAATTACAGAATTCTATTCCAGAATTTTACAGAGTTTTACCACTCTCAATCTCTTTTTTTTTTCTTTCGTTTTCGAGCTCCTTATTCTACAAAACCTAAGGCCCCTATTTATAGACACAATTGAGCATCTAATCAGTTACAAACTAACCAACTAACATAGGCTCCAACTGGTTGAAGATTCCAACCACAAATGGCAGTTGAAACAGGTGGTTAAAGGCTCCAGTTGTTGGAATAATTTTGCAGCTGCTGAGTAAACCGAAAATTCAAATCCAAGGAATCAATTTCCTTACACAGACTCTTGTAGATTCATAAAAGCTTATGTCTCATCTTTTTCGAACATTCCATACAGACGACACTCCCTTGTTTTGGAAGAGACCGTAGGAAGAATCAAGTCCGGTCTGTAAAAATATTTCCAGCCGCTTTGGAAGCTGTATGATCACCATGGCCAATGATGGAGGAAATGACATTTTCTTTATCGTGTAATTCCAAAATAACATTTGACTGGGAAATAGAATTAAAAAAAAAAAGTGAAAATATAACTTTACTTGGAAAAAGTCAAAAATACCCTAACTTTATCAAAAGGAAGGCTCTCACTCACGGATTTGGACCGGCTGTCACTTGGGCCACAGCCGGCCCAGAGCACTAAATTTCTGGGTCGGCTGTTAAGTCGGCCCATATATTAATTTTTTAATAATTTAATATAATAAATGGTATAATTAATAAATATTTATATAATTTAATATTTTACGTAATTTAATAAAAGTAATATAATTAAATATTTTACCAATTTCATTAAAATTAATATAATTACGTAAATGAATTACGTAATGAAATAATTAAATATTTTACTTAATTTAAGAAATTGAATATGAAATAAATATTTATAGAATTAAATATTTTACGTAATCGAAAAATATTTATATAATTAAATAATTAATTTTAATTTGATAATTAC